AAACCACCCTGGTCGTTTCCTCACCATAGGTAGATGGGTGGTGTAAAACTCCAGGGGGATAATGGTGAAACGTAGGTGTTGTTCATTCTTAGATAATGTTGTGTTATACCATGCTACATACAAGGTTACCATGGTATATGTATAGTATACCGTGGTATATTCATAGCATACCGAGGATGATGGAACATCATATAGTATATCTTGCTATATTATAGAAAATTGGAGGTATTTTGAAAATTGCATAATTTTAGAAATATGCCAAAATATTTGAGCGCTGAAAAGTGAAAGGTGCAATCAAGTGGCGGCGGCGGCATATTAACCCAACTATAGCAATTTGACGTGTATTTTTATTTTTGATTATTCAGTTACATCACTGCATTTGTTAATAGACATTTTAGCTTCGATGCGAAGCTGAGAAGGTATTGGTTTTACTATAATGTGTTTTTTTTTTTTTTGTGTCTGTTACCACTTTTTCTCAGCTCTCACCGAACGGATTTCTTTCAACGATAAGTCAAAAGATCACAAATCGTATCTAGTCGAAGACATTACCCTTCAAAATTGAAAAAATTTCCCTCGTTCCCCGTAAATGGGGGAAACCTCCAAAAAAATTACAAATTTAAAAATCGCTAATTTCCGAAATTTTTTCAATTTTTTTTACTAAATACTGCCGTAACTTTTTCAAAAATGAACATATCAATATAATTTTTTTTTTTTTAGATGCTTGATGTCTTTACCTATTATTTTGTATATTTTTTTTTGTAAATCTGACACTTAACCTGCCCACAGGGGGGATTTAAAATGACAACTTTTTCACAAAAAATTTACTTTTTCAATATAACTTTTAAAAATGTTCTGAAAGGTCTTACACTTTTATATATATCTTAAATTAAAGCTAATGTAATATACTTAAAATTTAAAAAAAAAAATTTGACCCCTGGACTTGTCTTCACGGCGAAAATGGCTACCGAATGCTATTTTCGTGTGACAATTCTCGATTTTATTATTTATATTATATTTAACTTTATAATGCTATAACTTATTGAAAAGTTTATGGATCCACACAATTTTTTTATGAGAAATAATATTTTTTAATAAACCCTTTTTCATTCGACATACTTTATCTTAATCGAGATATTAATAAGGAACCAGCAGATCAAGTAGCTTTTGGAATAAAACACCAATTTTTTTAAAATTAAACACTATCTAAAGATTTGCATCGAAGCATTTATTTTTGATAGTGATTTTAATCACTGTCAGATATCATTATACTTGATCCAACTATACCACGTCACAACTGTGCCGCGACCTCCCTGTGCTGGGTTTTTTGTTAATGTGTAAACGTTATTGTATAAATCATATGTATACACATACTCTATTACATTCATTTGTATACAAATATTTAGAAATCGCGAGTTTAAAATTAAATATTATGATATGAAAGTGAAATTACTTAAGTGGTGAAGGAAAGAATTAGTCTACGAATATGTGTTCTGTGATTTGCTGACCCCCTATGAAAATATGTGATTTTCCCGCGTAAATAAGCATGAAATCGTTGATAGAGTCACTGTGTCACCAAAAACCATCAGCTCTAAGAAGACTCTACTCTATGAACAATATGGCTGCCGAACCTGTAAGGAAACAGCACTACATTTATATCGCACCAACACTGACAGCCGAGATGATTGACTCTACCAGTTGCACTATTGCGTTCGGCGACAGAAAATTTTTGCAATTCCAAAGGAGGACTTCAATGTTACAGTATGCATTATTATATGTCGTGATGGAGTATCACGACATATTAGTATATCAGCAGACTTTTTAAATATAATTTATGGCATGATGGATGAAATAACATTATTTCTACAATCACCTCCGGTAAAAGGAGAGAACATTATGTTATACTAAAATGTCGATTTTAATATATCCAAAGTATTGTACTGTAACACAATGAATTTAGTATTAGAATCCAGGATGGTCGATGGGTGTCGAGTGTTATTGAATAAAGAAAACATTAATAGACTTATGGACTTACAGTGTACTATTAACAGTGCAATATCAAGAAAAATAAAAACACGTTTACTATTATACCATCAAATAGACTGCATCACACAATACGCCGATGGTAAATGGTCAATCCTAAAATTCAATATTCAAATAATGATGAAATGGTTAATTTTATAAGAAGTTATATGACAAAGAAATATGCAATATTATTCCTAATGGTGACAGAAATTACATATACGAGCTGAAGAATTTAGCATACAATGAAATAGTGGATCGATAGGTCAAGTCTTGGTCTGAGGACATGCTTCAAATTAATATGAATTTAATGAACATATATTGTCATAGCCTTTATTGTTATTTAATTTATAATGATGTTTTATAAAAAAAGGGCAAGAAATGTATGACGAAAATGATGGTCCTGCATTTTTCAATACAACAGTATTTATCCCAAAAAATAGTTATAGTACATGGGCAACACAATGGCTAAAACCCATCACGTCAAAACATTAACATACATTAATAATTTATGAACAATAACTTTAAATATTGTAATTGTACAAAATTCTAATAATAAGCTTATAATTCAAAATCAAAAACAAATTGTTGTAATTTGTATATAATATATTTATTTCATAATAATAATAATAATTATAATTATAAGGTTATAATATATATTTACATAAACGTGTAAAAATTAAAGTTAAAATATACGGACGATTCCTTTAAAAGGTGTATAAGTAAATACTTTGTCTAATATTACTAGAGCATATGAAGTTGTATTAGCGGCGAACGTGGTTGATGCTTCTATTTCAATAAGCAGGTCAAAAAATTGGACTGTAATTGTGTAGTTCTGCTTTGTCAAATCGATCACTACAATAGATTATTATTATGATAGTTAATGAGTATTCATCTTGTTTACGTGATACAATTAAGTTGTACATGCAAACAAGATCATTCGTACAACGATTTTGAAATTCACTTCTTAACTTTTGACTGCTACCTGTAAATATGCTAAGTATTTGTGTATGTTGAATGGAATAGGTTAAGTAATTAAAAGATTTAGAAATTATTCGTAATATAATAGTATTTAATATAAAATGTCAAAACATATAATATAAGATATGTATAACGGCAACGGGTCACTTTACTCGATAGACGGTGAAACTACGACTAAACTGTAAACATGTATACAATAGGCTGCATTGAGTAAAACAATATAATCGTAAAAGGATTGTGTCCCTTTGACCTTGTACTATACTAACATAAGTAAAAATACATTAAACTGTTATCTTAAATAATATTACTGGGTACAGTGTATTGTTTAATTATATCAACAGTGTACAATTAAAATAATCTATGTAAACATAATTTTCAACCTTTATAAAGTAAATTAGTTTTGTCCAATAACTATTAGTTTTTATTTTTATTATCATAAGTATTACTAATAAACTTTCTACCATCAAAATAACGTTTTTGTCCATAATTAGAATTTGCGATAAATAGTCTTTCATATAATTTTGTAAATAAATCTCCAGATATACCGATGAACGTTCAACTAATTCGTTAATGAATAACCCATATATTTACCCAGGAAAAGGAATATCCAAAATTGGAGCCAGCGGACTTTAACATTGGGCATACATATTAATGGCTTATAAATTTGATATAAAATGAGTACCTACAAATAGCAACTCAGCAAATTATTTATCTAGACTAGTGATTTAAAACAAACAAGTGGATATAGAAGCTAACGTTAATTATTTAAATTTTATAAAGGAAGAATCTAACTGAATAATTGATTGGAAAAAAGTTAAAAAAGCAACCAAACAAGATCCTATTTTATCAAAAATAAGTGAATATATTTATGTAACTCATGGCCAGATGAAGCAAATAAGAACTCTTTTTCAACAAGGGTGGCCGACTCCAAGTAGTTGGGATTAAGGCGAGGAAGAAGAGATCTCATTAGATTGATTCTGTATCGATGGGATTTTCGCCAAATGATTAAATGACGGGCATTTATGACGTCTTTATTATGAACGTGACGCAATCGATACCTTATCTAAACCACCGACGAATTAATGTCAAACGTTTCCCGTACCAAATAATGAATAACAATGTTCCTTAGCTCTAGTGCCCTACAAATTTAACAACCGACAGCTGCAAGACGTCAACGATAAAGGAAACCGTATACGCAATTGTGCTGTAGCTACACACATTGACATCAGGAGAATACGAGCACGTGAGAGACGCCACTCACGACCACCGCACACACAACTACCACAATAGTAAAACTGGTTAGGGTAAGTTGCGCTCATGACGATGAAAAACCGAAACTCACCTAATCCCATCGCGCCATCTTGCATTGGCACGACCCAACAAAATATAAGTATATAATTAGTTTTAAATATTCCAAAGAAACAAACATTGTTTTCAAAATAATGATAAATGGTTCTACTTATAATCAATAATCAATAAATTGATAAATTGAAAGGGGTTTTACTAGTCAATACCAAGAGTTAACTTTATATATACTAAAACATCACAATCAATGGGGGTTTGCAAAAAACCCTCTTATTCTTTCAAGTTATACGTTGATTTGTGAGCAAATACGTTAATTCCTAAAATTGTTAATAGATAATGCCGTATATTCTCCAAAACACTATTGATTTTTGCTATAAACGTTGTTTTTGTTTACTTCTCAAGAAGAAGATAAATTCTAACCCAATTTATTCTTTCGATGGTTTATATTTTCTCAGTAAGAACTACACGAAAAGAAAATTTTTGTACAATCATGCTTCACATAACAGATCTAAAAATATTTAAACTACAAGTAAAACTATACAGTAAAATTTATTATTTATATCTATGAATAATAATGTCGTTCATTAAAGATAAATTTGTATTTAAATAAATAAAAAAGTAAACAATGTTTTTTCGATTATCTGGTATATATACTCATATTATACTTAATTTTTTTCAATTGAAATTAACAAATTTTAAAATTCATATATACTTAGTAGTATATTGTTTGTAGTATCAACATCACTTAAGTATTTCTTTAAAAAGTTATAACAAATTTTAGAATGCATTGGCAAATTTATATCGAATTGTTTTTTGGTGTTGTTTACCTATTATGCAAACCAATTAGAAGTTATCCTAAACCGGTAAAATTTTTAAATTTTTATAACGAAAAGTATAATATAATATACATATTATTTATATGATAGGCTAGAGGCACAATAGACAGACTTGCATGGGCATTTAACGAATATGTAACATATGATGATGAACTATCAATGGAAGAAAAAATAAAAAAAGAAAGGGTAACGCTTTAATATAGAAATAATTGTATCATCAATTCAAAAATTAACACATTAGTAAAATTATAAATTAGTCATACATGTATAAAATATTAATGTTAATATACGGATAAAATAATGCATTTTTTTCGAAAAATGACTTAATTTTCAAAATTATTTAAAAATAAAACTTTAAAAATGGTTAATTTGATGATATTGAATTGTTTTATCAGGCTAGAGAAGTATTATTAATGACGAATAATGAGACTTCTTTTGAAGCACTAAATATTAACAAGGTAACTGTAATTAAGTATAATTTTTTTGTTTAACATAAATATTTGATAAAATATAATTAATAAAATTTGTTCCAATATTTATAAAAAAATTGACTTACTCTATAATAAAATTTCATTAGAAAGATTGGGGGTCAATTTATATCAAATCATCCAACATAGCCTAATGACCATCTTTTTGAATTTCGCATATGAATTTTCTAGTATATATTAATATATAAATTACAAAAAAATGGTAGCACAGCAGGGTCGCAGCACAGTATGGACGTGCATAGTNCGGTAGCACAGTGGGGTCGAGGCACAGTGTGGACGAGGCATAGATGGGACAAGTATAGATGATATCTGACAGTGATTAAAATCACTATCATAAGAAACGCTTCGATGCAAATCTGTAGATAGTGTTTAATTTTAAGAAATTGGTAGTTTATTATATATGAATTATACAGGGTGTTCAGTAAGTCAGGAAACGGGTTTCTATTGTTCTCATTGTTACAAACAACCATTGAATAAAAATTTTTATGAAAATAAAAAAAATTGTATCATTAAGATTAATATGCTGCCTGGAAATTTTATAATTACTATTTATAATAAATTTATCAGAGAAGCCCAATATTTTTTTGCATTTTTAACATAATAGATAACTGAAATAGAAATTATAGTAATCATTTCCTAGTAACTTTTGGTGTTTAAAAAGATTCTACAATTCAAATATTCAGAAGTTAATTAATTTTAATGATTTACTTTAACTAAAAGAATCAATCAAAACAAAGTTGTTAGAAAAATTTACTCAATCGAGCGTATTATAAAATTTGATTATTATTGTAAAAATTCATTATTAATTCAGGAGAAACTAACAATATTATAACCTAGTAGTAGCACACACAAATAGAGTAAATTTATTATTAAATTACAAAGTAAAATGATTTAATTTTGCATATAAAACCTATCATATCAAACTTGATTCGCCAATAAATATTTTGAAAACATTAGAAATGAATGATTTTAAATGTCTATATGGAGAACATGGGACAAGTAACTGTTTTATTGATAGATTAGAATTTCTTTTTAATTTTTGAGGGTAATATCTTCAACTAGATACGAATTGTAGTCATTGGACGTATCGTTGAAAAAAGTAGGTCAAGTTAGAGCAGAGAAAATAAATGATATTCACAAAAAAACATCTTCTCGGCTTTGCATCGAAGCTAAAACTTAAAATATAGTAAAATAATTTTAATACGAATAAGAAATTTCTTCTCACGAGGGGAGAATATAGTGATGGGATCCTTGATCTTTATTAAAGTTATTGAATTTAAATGAGATAAAAATCAAAAGAGTTGAAAAATTATCCTAACTTAAAAAGAATTAAGAAAAAAATGCAAGAAGTTCCTTAACATACGTGGGTTAAACCTTGTACCCCAAGCGCGTAAAGCATAAGTTTTACTGACTCGGCAACCATACGTCACTTCTGTCGACTGAAAAAAATAGAAATTTAAGCTAGTTCGAATTTCAAAGTTATTTTTCTCGAATTAAAAAAAGCAAAAAAAATTTAAACAAGTTTAACTTTCTATGCTATATCAATTTGATTTATATAATGTTTATGAAAATCAGTGTACTCTCCTTGTATGGTATTTTAAATTAAAATAAAATACAAAACCCAGAATTTGAACACAAAAATAGCATATTTTTGAATACCGTAGTCATTTTTACCATGAAGACAAATCCAGAGGTCAATTTTTTTTCAAATTAAAATATATTACATAAACTTTAATTTATGATATATATAAAAGTGTCAGTATTTCCGGAATACTTTCAAGAATTAAATTGAAAATGTCCTAGTTTCAATACGCATGATTAAAGTTTTGACCCCCCTTGTATAAAGAAGTATGATCCGATTTATAAAAAAAGCGTGTCAGATGAAAAGGGTATATAAAAATTTATTATAAAAAATAATAATATTGACCCATACATTTTTCCAAAGTTATAGCAATGTAAATTTAATAATATAAAATCGAGAATTTTTTCACGGAAATCGTATGTTTTTCTTTAACTATGATGTCCATTTTCACCACGAAGGCAAGTCCAGAGGTCAATTTTTTTTCAAACTAAAATATATTACATAAACTTTAATTTATGATATATATATAAAAGTGTCAGTCTTTGCGGAAAATTTTTTTTTGAAGAAGCGACCGGTGTTATTCACGCGGGTTTGTTAACGTTTGTGCTTTTGTTTTGTCTTTATATTGATTCGGACATTTTGAAAATAGTTTTAATTTTAAGTAAAAAAAAATTGAAAAACTGTCGAAAATTAGCGATTTTTAAATTTTTAAATTTTTTGTGGGATTTCTCCCATTTACGGGGAACGAGCGAATTTTTTTCAACTTTTGAGGGTATGCCTTCGACTAGATACGATTTGGGATCTTTTGACGTATTGTTCAATAAAATTGGTGCACCAAGAGCTAAGATTGAATGTTCACAGACACACAAATAAAAATAAAAAAAACACATAATAGTAAAATTATTACCTTCTCAGTTTCGTATCGAAGCTAAAAGGAATAGTTCTAGGAGAATAAAGATTTATGACATCGGTATTTTGTACAAATATCGTTGTAATCTATATATTTATATTTAATTATTGAAAATTTTACCACTTTTTCATCATATTAAGATTTTTAGAAAATACAATAATATTTTAGCTTTTATACAAATCTGAGAAAGTATTGGTTTTACTATTGTGTATGTTGTTTTTTAACGCCTTTCTTTGATAATATTCAGCTCTCATTGAACCGGTTGTTGGTTTATACATTAACAAAAGAATGAATGGGTTATATACTTAATAAGTAATACTGTATACTATAGGGCAGACCAAAATGCTCATTTTATTCTTTGTTTTGATCGTATCATTGCAGATATTCATATGAGAATAAAAACACTATAAAAGCTTAGAAACTATAGAAATCGACTAAAAATCATTTCGCTCTTTTACAAACGGACATTTAAGGAAAAATTATGTTTTTTGCATATTTTTTTATAATTCGAGACAAAATTAAAAACAATGATATTAAATTAATCTATATGAAAAAACAAATAAATTAAACACTATGTGATTAGATATCAAATCATTGTGAAACATTATAAACAAAAACTTTTTACTAATAAAATTCGTAATAAAACAAAATTTATACATATATATTTTCAACAATTTTACAAATAAAAATTTAAATTAATATATAAAAATTTATTTTTTAATTATTCTAGAAGAACTTTTAAAAATATGCATTGCGTGTGTGAGCAAGCCAAATCAAAAAAAATTAACGCATATTTTTAACTGAACCATTTTATTTAAATACATATACTTTTTCATAATCTTACTATGATTATCATTTAGCTTATGTAATTTATAAATAATTTGTTTAATTGGTCAGTATATAAATTATGCTACAGCTAAATTTTATTTAACAAAAGTTTTGAAACCACATTTAGCTAAAAATTTTGGTTTTTTTTTTAATTTTTGTATTATTTAAACCCATTAAATTGATATAATAAAATGTTTCTACCTTTTATAAATAAAGTAATCTTTTATCGTTTGATCTTCAATGAACAACGTTGCAGTAATGAATCACTTTAATTTTACATTTTTTAATCATTTATGAAAAAAAAATTATTTTTGTTTTCAATTACTCATACACATTAAGCAGACATTTACTATTAGCTCTTTGTTAATTTTGTACTAGTCAGTAATCATAATGTATTATATTATAAACCAAAAATGTTAAAGTTTTTTAGTACTGGCTCAGTACTTAACATATATTAATATATGTGTTTGCCAGCTATCAAATTTCAGTATTGAACTTTTAGTAAATACACTTGCATTTCATAGAAATGTCTATATAAAAAATAGTTATTAACTGAATTTTTTTTTCAAACATCAAGATCTATAAAATACCTGAAGAAATGAAACAAATAACTGAGAAAATTTTTCTAGAGTCAAAATTCATTTATACCATTAGAGAACTATTGGGGAACTTGAATGAAATTAAAGACAAGGAAAAAAATATATGCGAGAAAGCAAAAGAAATAGAACAAAAATTGAACAAATTCAATAGTAATGAAGATAATTTAAATTAAAATATAAATTATTAGGGATTGAAAATAGTGTCTTTTATAATTCACTTTATGATTAGTTTTGAAATATAAATATATAATACGATAATGATAAGGATAAATTAGTAAAAGGTTATATAAGAGTAGAAATTAAATTACTTTTTTCATTATCTTTCAATTCTTAATTTGCTCCACAAAACGCTTTGAGCTATTTACAATAAATAAATTAATATTGATTTAAGTCCGAAATACTTTCTAAAATTATTAAATATTGATATTTTATAATCGTTTCAAATTCCGTTAATATAAATATTAAAATTATTGTAGGACGAGGAAAAAAAAACCTGAACTTTAATTGATTTATTCAAAAAGTCTTTACGATAAAAACTTGAAACTTGATAGAATAAATACTTGATAAATTTAAACCAGCTGTTAAAAACTGTTTGAATAATATTATTATTATATTATAAAAATTAATTAGAAAATAAGAACTATTCGCCAACTTTTAAAATATTGGTTCAAAAATTGTTATCAGCCAATCATTTTATTGGTTAGATCATTTTTTATTTTTAAGCAAGTTAAACAGTAGGAAAACTTGTTACTTCTTTTACAGGGTGTAAAATAGGATAAATTCAAATTTATTTATTATTTTTTGAAAATTTTAGAATCCACAGTATATTTAATTATTGTCAAGTAGAATACTAATAAATTTATAGGATTTCCAAATTAACTATTTAGTAACTGAAATTGTATAAAAAATTATCTTCTGTGAAAAAGTCTAAACAGTATAACAACCTTATCAGTAAACCTCTTTTATTCTGGAATTTGTAAACGATTGGAAAAATTTTAATGTATTGCTATAAATTAAGTATTTTATGAACACTTATCTTAACTAACTGTTAAGACTGTGATAAAAATTCAAAGGGATATCAAATTTATTTTCTAATATCTTTTGTTCTGTTTATTTAGTCATCTTATAATCTTTGTAATATAATTATAGCGTTTTTCAGCAAAAAAATTAACTTCATATATCAAACTTAGCTATATGTAAATCTGAATAATTCTTGAGAATCAAATAAAGTATTTGAATATTTAATTAAAAGTGAATGATGAAAATTATTGTCAGATATATGATAGTTAAAATGATAAGGATCGTCTTTTTAGAGTAGGTTACAACATGGAATTTGTGTATATTCAATGAGAAGTCAGTTAAAATGTAGCTAAAACACTTTGTAGGAAATTAATATTATAAAGAGAAGATAGAGACTTGATTATTTTGGCGTCGTTAGTATATAGAGTGGAACAGATTTATGATCATTTCATACTTACATAACATTTCTTACTTTTCATAATTTTTTTTAAATTAATTTTTACAATATAGAACTATATTTAAAATATGACTTATGTTATTTTATTACGATAATATTTTAAAAATTAATTTTTTTATTAAATTTTTTTAAGATTTGAAGATAGCTATTTTATAGACAAGTTTTAATGAAAAATTTTGATACTAACAATTTTTATTTTAATTCAGTAGTTACGTTTATACAGCATTTTGAAATTTGTTAATTTTTGATTTTTTTTTTTAAATTGTCCTATGGTATCAAATGTTAGTTCATATTATGTTAAGTACGGAAGTAAACACTTATTACGCTATTTAATAATAACAGTAGCAATTTTTTTTCCATGAAAATTATTAACATTTGAGTAAGCAGTAATTATCGTGCAAAAATAAGTAGTAATATATTTAAATTATTAAAAATATTATAGAAACATTGTCTAAAACACGTTGAGTTTTTCATTAAAATTGTTCATTTATCATAAATTAAAACGTGAATAATAGTGAATAAGTGCATTTATTATCAAATCTCCTAACAAGGAATACCCTATAATAAAATATGATTGCAATGATAGAATCTTGCAAATTAATAATTGTTATCACAATTAACTTGGTTAACCACGGAACACTTGTAGTTGACATACGATAATGTTTCTATTTTTTGTAATAAAATGTTTGTAATAAAGATTAGAGATAATCATTTTTGTATAAAATGCGTTAAACTTTATTATTATCCATGGAAAAGAAATTGCATACTGTTACCATTAAATCACGTATTATGACAGCTTTTATTTCTGTCCTTTATATTATATAGACTAACATTTGATACCATAGGGAAATTGAAAAAAAAAAAATCAAAATTTGACAAATTTTAAAATGCTATATAAACGTAACTACTGAATTAAAATAAAAGTTTTTGTTATCAAAATTAAAACTTATCTATAAAATAGCTATCTTCAAATCTTAAAAAAAAATTTAATAAATGAATTAATTTTAAAAATATTTTTAGTAATTGCGAAAAATATCATAAAACATAGTTTAAATGTAGTTCTATATTGCAAAAATTGTCTTAAAAAAGTATAAAATGTTATGTAGATCATAAGTTATATGAATTGTCAGTTACATCTGTTCCACTCTGTATAACAGAATATTTGAGTGTGTAATATAGAACACAACATCATTAATAAATATATTAAATTGGAGACGGGTGAGATTATCACCTTGAGGTATTGCAGAAATTACTTTTATAGAAATTGTCATACAATTTTTATACTTGACAATCGGGTACCGATGGCATAAAGATTGTGGTGAAGCATAGCGAAGTTGAATCTACTAATAAGAACAGTTGATAGAGTAATTTATGTTAAAAGCGAAAAAATGACTATGCTTAAGTAATAAATTTACACATAAAATATTACATTTTGTGAATAGCAAGGCCTATGTTCCTTAATCTTTTTATAAGCCAGTGAAATGATTAAATTGATATCTAAAATCGACAAATAAATACTAACAAAGTTATTAACACTAATACAAAAACATACATAATATAATAAAAGTAGATTAACAAATAATTAACCCGTTATATATAAATAAATAATCCTAAAAAAGCAAAATTAATATTTATTAATGTTTTTATAATTTGTAAAACAAGTTGTATCTTTATTTATTTTAATAAATATCACATTACATGTATTAATTTCATGAACAATGTAATTTACTAAGGATACTTTCGCCATGTGTTCCTTTTATTTTCACAAAATCAAACAAATAATATGTTATTTTATTATCAATATAAAATGTATTGTTTAATAATATTACTCATTAAAACTTATTTCCAAAGTTAAAATCTATAATTATTTTTAGTAAATTATAATTGTATTAAAAAAATATATTTTTAAATATAATGTAAATTACAGTATGAAAGAATTCTTTAATACAAACATCAATAATTAATTTTTGTCATTCTTTTTTTTATGTTTAAATTGAAATTTTTTTTAGAAAATGAATATGTTAGCCTTAGTATTTTCGCACAAATTTTGACCGATACGTATGTCAATATTCCAAACAAAATGGTGGGCTTATTTGCAAAATTGTCTAAAAAATTTTATGTAAAAGATTTAAGTCGTACTGGAAAAGTGTCTATAAAAGATTTTGAAGAAGTCTTAAATACAATTCTCATGAACAATGATATCGTAAAAGATATATTAAAATCGTTTGAAAATATAAATGAAGTGTTTTATGAAGGTGTATATTAAAAATTAATTTAATATTATGACTAAAATTAACACTACTTAATTTTATTTCAGCATGGTTATTGAAAAAAAGAATAGATGTAAATGATATAACATTATCACGGGGCATAATGCAATTAACCTACAAGGTAGATAGCAGTGAGACATGTTATGACACAGATAATGAATATTACTAAAAATATATGATCTTTACATTTGGTCATTATAATTATCAAATTGTTTTAAGCTTATAAACTAAAATAATAATAAATTAATATTATTAAGAATTTGTTTTTATATTAATTAATATATTTTCAACTAATTTGAAAAATATTTAAAAATCAAATAAAAGTAAAATAATTAAAATAAAACTTAAGCAAAAAAAAAAAGTTGTCTATATTAATATTATTTTAGTAGAAATTCATCAATCAATGATAAATCAAACACCCTGCGTATCCAAAAAAAATGTATGTTTAGGGTGGTCAATGGTAAACANTAAAAAAACAAAGTTGACCCCCTTCCAAGGCATAAGGGATGAACTTAAAAAGTATTACATAGTTAAAAATTCAAGAATAATATGTAACTAAAGATAATAATAAAAAAAAATGTTTAAATTATTATTATTATGCAAGTAATTGAGTGGGTTATGATAAAAAAATCACCCTGTATGTATTACACACAATGGAGTAACAAAACACTATGATGATGAATCCAAACGATATTACAGTAATATCCACGTATGTTTTGAGTGTTACTTTCCATAATAATATATTTTTTAAATAATGTTTTTATAACGTTATTTATATTATAAAAATATTTTAATATAATTTTTTTAATTTATATCTAGTTCAAAAATGTGGAAATTTTAGATTAAGTACCATGTGTAAACTCATTGAATACCACTGAGCATAGTGTCTTATGATATAAACGTCATGTTAGGTCTTTTATAGCGTTAGGGGTTAAATTGATGAAAAATATTTGTTGAGAAGACATCTAAGTATAAAATACCCGCTACGGTAGTCCTTAGATTTCTTACAGTTGGATGTTCTGTAGATTTAAAAAAAAAAAATTAAAAATTATAAAAATCAAAGTTAAAAAATCACATTTTTAAGACTCGATTTTAATAATACACATATGATTGTATTAAAGCTTTCGTGAATTGTAGTATTTTATCTATACTGTATAGTGTTAGGGGCTTGTTTAATAGTTGAGGATCTTGGTTAAAACCAAGAATCGGAAGCTACCCGACGTCTGCCCAAATATCGTCCCTATCTCCTTAAATGGGTTTTAATTGCCTGAAGGAGACACAGGCAATCGTGTACCTTAGTTACAGGGGATAGATTATTAAATAAAATTAGACTATTGTTTTATGTCAACGACAAAGTAAAGTTATATTTAAATGTTTAGTAAATATAAGTTATATGTAATGTACAATACGTCTGATCTGAATCCTAGTACAGTTGGTTAGTAGGTATATCCAAGTGAGACGGAGTTGGTTGGCTATGATGACAATTGGCGATAGACGGGTCGTTGAATAAAACAAGTTAAGTTATAAATAATATAAATAAGACGTAAGTAATAATATTGAAAACTATGTCTATAACGGCCACTCAAACACAACTGCCCTTTGTTAGTTCGACGTCAGTAGCTCCGGGCTACAGACGAGTAGAATTGTCATATCAGCATCTCCCTCTATGCTAATTAATATATATTACGAATTAAATAAATAGAAATAAAACGTATGTAATATAAGTGGTAAGAACATAGTAATAAATGTTCTTACAATAGTTACAGCCAATATAGTGTTGAGTCAGGTAGATCATGGGTATAGTATCCAACTAAAATAGAATCATTAATTTCTTCAGAGATCTTTTCGATTTATAAGCATANAATATAGTGTTAAGTCAGGTAGATCATGGGTATAGTATCCAACTAAAATAGAATCATTAATTTCTTCAGAGATCTTTTCGATTTATAAGCATAGTAGTGTGAATCCAAACCAACACAGTGTTTACTACTAACTAAGGAATCTTAGATTTTCCCACTATCAAACGATTTTAGTTCTTTTTAGTTTAGAAGAAATAAAGGTGCCCAGTATTATCTCATTCTTCCTAAAAAATTTGTTTATATAATGTAATCCAACATATTGAAGTTTCTTGTCATAGTAATTTCAAAATATTTAAACAAAAAGCTTTTGAGTTACATAAAAAATCTTCAAGGTATTATTCTAATCTACTTCATTAAATTAACTTATTTTATTAATCAAATCATTTAGTTAATGTAGTAATAAAAAATATATATACATTCACAAAATTGATTTTCTGTTTATTTATGTAATATTAAATACTAAAATTAAATTTCATATTTATTTTAATGGAATTTAACATGATCGGCGTAATGCTGAAAATATACTAGTTTTATTACTTGCAAACAACTAATAGTGTAGTTGATGGACACGATTAAAATAATAATAGGTATTTTATTGTATCAAGTTTTGTAATATTCTCCTCTAGAATATTAAAAAAAAATCAATATCTCTTTTATTTCTCCAACCATAGAAAATAATACGCTAACACTATAATGCATATAATTCTGACCTTGGCTACTATAAAGTGAGACATTGTCTTTCTTACCGTCATCGAGGCACCACTAAAGTATTAAAAAAGGAAAATTAATTATAATAACTCTTTTGCGTTCATTGAAATACAGAATAATGACTGAATGTGCTTATAAAAAAATATGACTCTGTTTTTCCAGTCAGTAACTGCTCACTTTCTTGTCTTTTTTTCTCACTTAAAAATCTCTTGTATTAAGTGGAACTCTTTAAGATTATTCCCTACATACTCAAGCGTATTCTTTATACTGTGTCTTCATATTCTTAACTTTTCTCACTAAGTATATAACGTACATTTGATAAAATAACTAAATTTCTGGTTAAAATATATATACTTATATAATTTCTGTATAATACTCTTTTATTGATTCACCTATTGTATTTCTGAATAATACTTATTAACTATAAGTCTACAATCAAGAATCCATCATCATCAGTGAATATCAGGTAAGAGTAGTTTTAATACATTAACTACATTTATTAAGTGTCGTGCGTAGGTAGTGCCCCAACGTACACACAAAAGTTTTACACAAATTAATGTTTTTATTATATATATATATATATCTTGACGATGAGTTTGTCGTTCAAGCTCTTCTCGAGTCCTTCCGTTGGATAAACTGATCAGCCCCAATCCCTCAAATTAGTGAACTACTAAAGGAGTAGGGTTTAGACCCGTCAGCACGGTCTAATTCAAAAGTAGCAGACTGAAGGGTGGCTCCTTGTCAGTCACCAACACAACTACCTTTTCACTATACCTACTAAAGGACGGTTAAGCTAAAAAACTAGCCAGCACGCACACTAATTATTAAGGTTGACTAAAGGACCAGTAGTCCAACCTCGACTCTTGCCGCACACACACAAATTTTAATATCACGATGGATATAAAGTATTTACTCTCAAGTACAGATTTTTAAATAATCATTTTATTTATATAACGTAAAAAACACAGAGTCAAATATAATATAAAAATTTAACACAAAATTAATTAAGTCTTACAAAAATACAAAGTTACTCGCACACCAACGACTTAACCCGTAACTCGACGTTTCTTCGTCAAAACGTCCAGTACCGTTAGTCCCCCTATAGTTTTCATGTTTCACTTTTATATTATTTTTCCCGCCATTAACAATTTGCTTACCCTGCATTTTCCTTTTATATGACATTATTATATTGTTTAAGAGTTCAAAAATTGCTTACTACTGTTGTAAAGCTTATATTATATTAAAATTGACGTAATTCAATACATCCTCAGCTATTTACTACATAAATAATATTCCCAACCTAATGTAATCTAAATATCAACCAGTAGTGGTTGTCATTCATTTCGTTATTACAGTTAAAACTATAAAAATTTTAATAAAACGTCTTATCAATTATTTTAAATTAAGTAAAATATAAGTTTAGGATGATTTCAAATTTGAGATAAAATTTATTCTAATACGGAAAACTAATTTTTAAAATATCATTTCAATGTAATGTAGCAACTAAAACTTATTTTTGCGCACAGTGTGAACATATTTTTTATCCTAATTTAACCGTATATGTATTAAAATAAAACATGACTACTAGTTGAGATTTTGCAAAATACTCTATTTTTATTCCACGCTATACGCTTATTTGTAAGCCTATACCCTGTAATATAAATAGTACAAAAGTAATAATTTTCTAAGGTGTATGTGAATATAAAATACTTTTGGTATGTTTCGCTGTATATGCCATAAAAGATCATTAATCAGTACTAAATATGTTTTTTTGTTGTATTTCCATGCAAAGATATAAGTCTTAATTCCATCACTCTTTCATTGTGTGATATTCCTTAGTAAGTAGAAAATCAAATTTTTTTTCTTAAATTAATGTACAATCACACATCTCAAAATAGATCTATAAATATGNACAATCACACATCTCAAAATAGATCTATAAATATGTAAACTAAAAGTCATTGAAATTAGTTATTTATAACAATGAATAATAATGTACATTCTTCATAATAAATTTGTGTATAAAAAAATAAATAAGTAAACAATGTTTTTTGATTATCTAGTATATATACCCATTTTTTACTCAATTATTTTTCAATTTAAGTTAACAAACTAAAAATTAAATTATACACAGTACTATATTGTGCATTGTATCAAACTATATTTAATATTTTACCCAAAAATTATAAAAATTGTAGAATGCATTGGCAAATTTATTTCGGATTGTTTTTTTGCGTTATTTCTTCGTTGTATGGTTTGAAGAACAATCCAAATACAGCCTCAGCAAGTGTTGCAGTAATATATTTTAATTTTATAAGAAACAATGCAATTTAATAAACATATATTTTATGTGATAGGTTAACAACGTATTGGAAAGTCTTGCAAGATTGCCTACAACGTGTTCGAAGCATGATAACGATGTGCTACAAGAAAAAAATAAAAGAAAAGAATGGGTAACGTTTTAATGTAGAAATAGTTGTATTACAAATTCAAAAATTAACATATTAATTAATCAATAAAATTAAAACTGGTCAAACATGTATTAAATATTAATATATAATATATTTATATATTTTATTAATTTAAAGATAAGAGAATATATAATTTTTTCAAAGAATAGTTAATTTTAAAAAATTATTTAAGAATAAAACTTTTAAAACGTAAATTTAATG